AGTGAGTGCTTTTTTCTTTTCTCTTTGTGCCTCGTTAATATGAAATAAATAACCTAGGAAGGTACTCTCTTGGTTGTGGCTGTGTGACACCACTCTATACTGATTTTCATTTCGAACTTTGTTGATTCGGTAAGGAGATAATTCATTCTTACCAGACATGATGATGGATGCGTGAGCCTGTTGCAGTCAAATGACTCCCTACTGAAATCAAGCACGTTAATGCTATGAAGCATTTGTCTCCTGTAACATTCTTCAGAGGGCTTCATGTAATCAAAGGTTCCGTTTTCGATGGAAACTGTTCAAAACAAAGTTCTTCTCTGTAATTTGTAGACAGGTTACTCAGCATAAATTTACAAATTTATTTATTTATTAGCAATATTTATGCAGGCTGGCCCAGTTCAGCTTCAGGAGGTCTTCTCTTTATGTGGTAGAGAACCAGGATTAAAAAAAACCGCTTAAATCAAGTGAAATCGGTAAAATAACGGCACCAGGAGCAAACGACACACGTATGGAATAAGGTAAGCCATTTTTATTTAATATTTTCTCTTTTAAATATCTCTATGGATATCTTGTACAAAATCCCATACAAATCCTTATAAATATGCAAATTGTGTTCCTTGGGTGGTTCTCAAAGAGAGCTTGGGCCCTCTGTGGAATTATTAGTAAAATCTTGGGAATGATTATGTCTTTTTAAAATATTCGACCAAACACATCGACCACATGGTTTAGAAAAGAAAAAACTTCTTCTGTTTTCGAATTTATTTGGTGTACTTAACGTGCAAAGGGATTGATCTCGTTAGTGAGTACCTTCCAAACTTTTTCAATTGAGCAGTTCAAACTTATGCCATTAAGAATGTTGAACGTGTTTCATAAAAACTTTTAGGTTGGCACCAGTGACTTTACCTGGATTGGCTCTGCTCCATTTTCCAGACCATAATAGCTGCATGCGTCCAAAGGATGGAAGACATGAATATTTAGTAGCTTTGATGCCACTCTGGTATTTATATACACTGTACCACCAACCTGTTGGGGAGACAGCCGATGAATCAATTTCTGAAGCGTTTTAAGATAATATATCTCATATCAAATGGGCTTTATCATTCAGTGACTTATTCCTTTCCTTTTATTGCCGAAAAACGCCAGAATTAATGAAGTTTCTCTCAATTTTCACGGGCCGAAAGCGAGCCACTTCATCTGAAAGTAAACTCCAAGAAATAATGCTCTGGTCATGGGAAGTACCGTCACATTTTGTTCGATAACTCTACGGCGTAGATTATACACTCTCGTCGAAAACGTTTTCTTCCATGAAATTTTCAGGATGTTACCTTTAGAAAATTCAGATTCTTTGGGAAAATACACATAATTATTAATTCTTAATTATTTTTAATTTACGCGGACCTGACCCCCAACTTACCACTGGCACTTTACCGTTGTTGCTTAGAGCACATTTCTTATTTCGTCTTCGGTTTCTCGAAATCTTATGTCTTTTACTTTGCCCTGGAAAAGAAAACAGGGAAAACCCTTATACGTATTTATCTTTTTAATTCTGGTTTGAATAACTGATACCATGTGAAGCTTTACAGGAAAGAAATGTACTTTCAAAAATTGGTCAACCATACCTCTTGTCCCAGGTTGACAACTCCGTGGTCCTTCGTATATCGTACATTTTCTGGGGAGAGAATCACGGTCATTCCGTCTAAAAACTTGTTCCAGTCAATTCCTTAACAGTAAAGACAGCGAATTAAATAGACATAATCGTAAAGCTTCACATATGATCAATGTCTAAAGAAATTTGATGTAGCTGCATTTGTCAAGTTTTCCAAGAAATGCTCACGATTATTACAACGTTCAATTTACATGCATTTGTGTTTTTTTTTTTGTTTTGTTTTTTCAATCCTAATACTTACTGTGTGAGGATCCACTGATGGAAGCATATCTGCACTGCAAATCCACACTCCTGGATCGGAGGGGCGTTTGCTGATATCCAATTAATGAAGAGGTACAACAGAAATAGTCCCATTATACAAACTTAAATTTCCAAGCCACTGAAAAACAGCACTTGCAAACGGTATTCCATTTTATTAATCTCTTTCCAGTTTTGAAGTCAAATAGATTTAGCTACATCAGCTCTCTGCCTTTATTTATAAAGGTCTACCACGTTTGTTCTAGAAACAATATTTCATCTAAAAAGATTTGGCGGCGGCCATAATTGAACTTTTGTTACATTTGAAGACAACATTGGAACCTTTAGGTTGCAACTTGGAACAAAACGTAGTAAATACTAAATTTTTTTAGATACTTTTCGACAGCGAAGATAAACATTGCACAGTTCCTGGTGCAGACTACTCCTTTGAATGTAAATGCATCATAGAAACACTACACTATACTGTCTCACTGTTTCTGACATAAGATGAAGCACGTAGTCGAGGTTTGTCAACAGAGCATCGCACAGATTCTCCTTTGATGCTTCCGAATGTTTAGCGGGTAGAGTGTTGAAGAATCTACCACAAGGACTTAATGGAAATCTCCCCCATCTGTTTACAAAGGGAATTGAAATAAGAACGGTGCAAAATCAATTGTATTTGCACGCTTTTATCTCAGCCAATCACTCAGCCATCAATTCCGAGAGCGGCACACAGCCTCTGTTTTAATTCGTGGGCAAGTGCATAATTTTGGATTGGAAAATGCTCCCTCTACTGTTCATGTTCGATCCGTTACTTCTTCAGTAAGTCAGTTTACTTCGGTCCCCTAGCCACTTCTAAATAAGGAAATTTAGAATGAGTGTGCACCCATCAAATCTTGTTGCACAAGACACCGGCTGTAGGACACTTCAACCCTTTTAGTAAATTACCCATAAGAAAGAAAAAGAAGAGATTATTTGATCCAAACCTGAAAACCAGCCTTGGCGCTAAGATGCTCTCTGACAACTCAGTTCAGAGTGGCTTCACCGCTTCCAACACTCCCTCTTGGGTCTTCAAGAGCCAACACCACTGTATCTTTGCTAATCAATCCCTTTTTTTGACGAATTTCTAGTTCTGTCCGAGTAAATCTCTCAACAGTTATGTACAACGTTATTTAGTGTACCGGTAAGCCCATAGAAGATTAGACCGAACTTTCTATCGGTTTGATTTACCGGCGTAATAACACACTTGGGATGTTCAGAAGAGCATGAAAATAATTTTTATACCATTTGGCTCTGGCTCATGAGTTAAGAAATTTGCTCGTGTTCTGTTTTTAACACCCCAAGTGTGTTATTGCATTCGAGCCATAACATCAGTTGTTACGTTAAAAAAGGCTGGCATACACGATAAGGTAAGGAAACAAACAGTACTATAATTGAGCACTGCAAGGGAGTATACATAAATTTTTTGGAAATACATGGTAATTTTCGGTTGCATAGATACGTTCAACAAGCTTGAACAATGTAGTTTTAAAGCCAGTTTACCTTTTTGAAACATCTTATCTAATCAGAGTTTATGAAACGCAAATGATAAGTAAAAAAAAGATTTAATCCATTTTCTCGTTTATCCAAGAATTTTCTCCTTGCGCTCAAACAGGAAATCGAAAAGAGCAATTTCCTTTGAAATTTCAATGACCTTAAACCGCTAAAATTTGTTCCCGCACAACACGAAGAATCACCAATCCGCAAAATAGGATTTTTGATTAATTTTTATGCTGAACGATAATTTGATTTATTTTGGACATGTGCTCTTGGATTAATCCTCACTTGCTCAGTGAGCACCTGGTTAGCGAATCTCACACTCGACTTTTTTTTAACAACAAATAAAACACACTACATGTATATGCTCTAAACAATGTTTTACCTGTCTGGAAAGCTCTTGCACTCGTTTTGTTTTGACAGATCGAAACTATCGCAGTCCAGGAGGTTTCTACAGCGATTTCATCCATGGCTCAATCGGTGACGGACAAAATTCACTTAAAGTAGTTGAGAAGTGATGTTCTCTGGAATACGGAACTTGCATGGTTTTATTGAGTGTTTTAAATGGTAAAAGTGAAGTCACTAATTTTCATAACAAAGACAGCCAGCCAGCCAGTCATTTGGATGAAGAGACTAAAAGGTGTTTCAAGGTTTTCTTAGATGATGTAAAGTTCTATGGGTCCACCACTGTTGCCATTGACGATGTCAGATGTTTTTTGATGGTACTCCTGTAAGGACTGTCGTCATTGATAAAACAAAACTCGGGCAGTAGAAGCTCAGCTAGTAAACATTTTCTGTTTATTTATTCAAAAATAAATCTCCCTAGAATTTGCTTTTAAGGTCGATGTCCGTGGTATATTGTAGTAAGTTAGAAAAGAAAGGAAGAGCTTCACAGACGGCGACGTTAAAAATTTCCTAACAGCGGAGGAAGGCTTAAACATGAAAAAAACCGAAAATGACTCGTAGCTTGCTGCTCGCGGCTGAAAATTAGTAGATTTTAACTAAACAGATTTCTTCTGTTGGTACGGAAAAGTTTGGCGAAGGTTATCAACCACCCAAAAATCACGTGTAAACCGTTCGCCACAACGTCAGATAAACTGGCGGGAAAGTAAACTTTTCTAGTCAGTAAAGGCCTATGGTGTTTACATAATAAACAAAATAATACATGATTGCTTGTAGATATGGAATTTCTTTTCATGATAAAAAGATTGTCGCGCTCTCCAAGTATCCTAAGTGTGTTATTGCGCCGGGAAACTGATACAAAGTGGGATCTATTGCTTGCATCTCAACCCTTACATTTGTTCAAAATGGCTGGCATACACGGTAAACTGAGAACACAAACAATTCCGTTCTTGAGATATCAAGTTAAACACTCGAAGAGAAATTCCATATTTACGCGCGCCCATGTGTCATTCTCTTTTTATTATAAGACTGGAATAACGGCAGCTTTCTGGCAAGTCTTTCTGGAAAATAAAATGAAGACTCTGATGGAGCTTATTTAGTTAACTACGGATGGAGGACGCGAGCGCTCAGTTTCGAGAAAACCATGACAAAAACATTAGACGTTAACAAGATATTTTATGTCTACCTTTATGGATACGTAAATACATTCAAATGATCTTTCGCAAGAACTAACCCGATTTATTGTTAACAATTACACGCATTAAAAAAATGTCCACACAAACATGTCATTTTATTGATATATGACTTAGAATTCTTGAAATTAAAATATTTTCAAGTGCACCAATTAAATTTAAGAGAAAAAAGCACCTTCGGTAGCTTGTCGTGACTTTTTTTTGTTTCTAACTTTCTAATTCTGCTAAGTTATGCTTAGAATGCGTCCAAAGTTTATCGTGCAGAATAACCTCATTTTACTGTCAGCCATACAAGTAAATGGAATGGTAATAATTCGAAATGGATTCCAATTGCATACTTTAACTAGCATTTTTAACAAATTCTCGTTTATTCCTCTTTGTAAGATTGTTTCTTTACTTTGGTTTCGTTAAAGTTCTACTTTAACCACGCTTCCCTTAATTTTATTTAATTATCAGATACCAGTAGTAGATCTCCAGAGATTTAATCTCCTTTGTCAACAATTCGGTTCAAATTTGTCAGCCTGATCGCAGGAACTGGAAGTTTGCGGACTAACTTAATGCACAGTCTACATCATTGTAACTTCTACTGCACTCAAGACTGTCTGAGAGGATTTTTTTTTTTCACTATTTAATTCATCCTCTAGGCCGTAATACTTGGTAAAAGTTCTTGTTTGCCGCAATGCAGGACACTGTAGACTACTTCAAACGTCGTTCTGGTCGTTCTGGTACCTCTGGGATCTTCTTTTATCAAAAGAAGAACTGGCATTGTCGACAATGGACCCGACTGACCTGGAAACGGAATTTGACGCCGGATTGACCTCCCTTGAGAAAAGGCTGCCGCAGGGGATGATGCGCAGCAGAGTAGCTCGGAATCTGTCATTCATCACCGTGTACACTATGGGGTTGAAGATAACAGAGGCTTTGGCGAGTAAATCCGGGACCTCTGCCTCTGAAGGTGTCAGCGAATTCGTACCCCGGATGGTGGCAATGATGCTAACCAAGCAATATGGCGACCAGCTCAACACGAAGGCGGCAATTGACATCGCAATCGTGCGCACCATTCTAATCTGAGACTTTCTTCGACTGGCTTCCACTGAGGCATTGCCTGAGGTGGGTTGTTGAGTGCGAATGAAGCTAAGATGGAAGAGAAAGCTGTTTGTCTGTGATAATGAATGGTATTAATAATAACAATATTTAACGAGGGAACGTAACTCGCCAAGGCAGTTTTTAGTGGGCCATCATAAGAGCCCCCAGTGGGGCCCTTAACAGCAGTTTTTTTTTCTTGTGGGACCTGTAGCAAAGCCGATAAAAGGAAGTTTAAACCACGAACGCAGCAACATCAGGAACGTCACTAAACAAAAAGTTTTATGAGCATAACAATGGCTGTGCATGTGCGTTACAAATCTTTGTAAATTTCTTTGCCTCTACTGTAAAACAACAACGTGATATGACCGAACGTTGCGTTGTCTAGAAAATGTGAACGACGAAGGCTAATTTTTTAAATCTTATTTCTAATTTAATGCTGTGTTCCCTATTCAGTTTCGAGATAGTTTTGACGGTGAGAAACGCACTCATTGACTTTCTAGTGTCGTGCGGTACAAAGGTAAAATATAAGTTCATGTTTTAACCGACGTTGTCCACGGCGTCGCCGTCATCGTTTCTTATGTAACCTGGTAGCTCTTTTTAGACTTGTCACTGAACGATTTATCATCCAACAAGCCGTCCATGAAAAAACGAATTTTTCGGCCAAGAATAAATAAGTTTTCGGAGTAATGCTAGGCAGAAAATAAAGGTTTAGATCTTCGGAGTAAAAAAATGAATTTTTTGAGACCCTTACGGATCATATTGAATGCAATGTTTAAGAAGGGTTGGAATGCAGAAAGCGTAGCCTGCCTAAAAACACGGACTACTTCTTAAGTTCATTTTCTTGTTAAAATACCCATCTCTGACACCAAAAGTTGCAAAACCTTCTCTTCCGATTTCAAGACCAGGTTAAAACACATATTGATTAAAACATCAGATAGACTGTTCTCCCCTCCCCCCCCCCCCCGAGTAAGCGTACCTGTAGATTCGATAGTAACAGAAAATAATGACACTCAGTGGCAGCACGAAGCCGACAAAAACCAGAAACATATTGTACGCCACTCCAGCCTTCGTTTCCGGAACCCAATTAGGACAGCAGCTGATACCGGAGGCACCTGGAACGAATTCGTTCCAACCCACTAACGGCGGAATCATGGACGTCACTCCATACACCCACGTGAACGTGATAATGGCCGCCATTTTGATTGTGGAGATTTTTGTCGTCTTAGTCACTGAACTAACACCGTGAAACATCACCAAACTCATCATGGTCAGATTGGCGATGGAAGCGATGCCAGTGGCGCCATTGATAAATCCCGACCATATGCAAAGCGGCCGACTTTCACGAAGGTTGAGGCCGGAGGAAGCAAAGTTACTTGAGACGACCACAGGATAGCCAAAGACAATTATAATGATGTCAGCGACTGCCAAGTTTATCATGAGTGGAGTGATGTTTTTCCTTCTGTGTTCAGGACAGCGTAAGACAAGGATTGTCAGAACATTGCCCACCAAGCCGACTGCCAAGATTAAACCCATAACGACCCCATACGAAATGAGGATGTCTGCATCCAGATGGAATTCTCTATCGCTGTTAATTTTTATTGAAGTCGTACTCGGAACTCCGGTTGACGGACTCATTGTTTCCCTGTCAAACCTTTACGTATTTGAATCTTGATCAGTTGTTGGACTTGTAATTTTCTGATACGTTTAATAATTCTGCAAAGGAATTCAAAATATACTCATGAAGATAGATATGACAAAGGATAATATCATTTAAAATACACTAAGTTCACTTGCCGTTATGTAGCGATCTCGCACGCTTCATAATATGCAGCGTAATGTTTGTTTTACAGGCATGTTGGGTTGTAATTACCTATTTATGAGAATAGAACCAAGAGTTTTGTACTCTCCTATCTTCGTGCGTAAAGGCTTAACTGAGTTTGAACCTTGGCTAGAAAATAATGCTTCTCTCTGGTGGTACTCTTTTTTATCATTTATGGAAATAAAGCTTTTTGTTTTCCAGTAGAGAAGAAAGGTAAGGCGGCACGATTTAAATTCTATCGGACGAGCTTAAAGTATCTTAGTCAACCACGCCCCTGTGTTTGTTTACTTTCGGAAGAGTACAATATCATTCTTGCGATAGTTAAAACCAAGGGAACATTAGTTGAAGTTCTCTTATTGGCACAGACAGAAGTAATTAGATAGTGGATGAAACTAAAGAAATGATAATGTTCAGAGATAACAACGATAATTGAAGTCCTGTGTAGGGGCCACTCGTTAGGATGCAAGGGGACTGGAACCGGCAAAATTAATTCCAAACACCGTGACAATGGTATAGGAAACAACTGATATTCCGGTTCGTGATTGCAAAGCATTTTGGTTGAATAGATACTTTACTTTCTAAAGCAAATTGCGGACCACAAAGTACTAAGATTCAAATCCTTCTGACCGAGCTTTTTTCATTATTTATTATGTTTATTAAGCGAACGAATACAAAGACGAGGCTAGCACGTAATGTGAGTAAAGGACAGGGAGAGGTGCATGAAAAAAAAATGACACTGAGCGAGTATATATGGAAAAAAGTGAGGGACAAATGAATAAAGCCCGGCGATATCTGGCATGGACTAGAAAGGGCCTTAAACATGCAATAACGAGTTCATTATTTAATGAAAAATATAAGCCGAAGAAGGCTTTAATGGTGACTTTGTTCGGTGACGGTGTAATTTTGTCGGCAAGCGGTTTGTAAATACCTTCAGCTTCCTAACCGCATAAAACTTCGTCTAATTTCTATTATGACGATACACGGATGAGAAAAAAATCTTTGAGAGATTTCCTCTTCCAATAAGCGAAGAGAGCGGAATTTAACGTGATTTGGGAACCGTGTTAGTAAATGTGTTACAGTGGATCACAGACTACTTGAACGCTTGGATTTTTAACATTTGAGTTGTATATGAAAACAAACAAGCATGAAAACAAATTCATGTCAAGGGTGCTTTAAAAATCGCTGTGAAAATTTAAACCGATTCATAGCTTTGAAGTTTGGAATTTTTCCCGAAATGCGCAACACATATAGTTTTACACGGGAGGGGGGGGAAGCGATGTTGTTTAAGAGATTCGCCTTCCATGAGAAGTGGTAACTGAAGAAAGAGTTAAAGAAAGGAATATCGTATGGGAGGTTAATGCTACGCGCTGAAAAAGTACAGTAATATAAAAGACGTACGTTCTCTCCTAATAATTCCAGAAACCGGGAAGTTTGAATTGTGTGTTTTGAGTTGTAAATTCCTTTCAAAGATGAAATCTTATAAGAGATTCCTTCTTTCAGTTCATACAATCGCGACTCGCTCTGAGCAGGGAAAAGGAAAAAAACAAAACGCTCTGTTTTGGATAATACTACTCTCGGTCACCATCTTGTCTGTCAACTCAACTTCAAAGTATTCATTCGGTACGCTTCGCTATCTCTCGCGTGATAGACACACGATCGTGTGCCAGAAATGATAGACCTTCTCGTAGAAAAAATGTAGGAAAAGTAAACGAATGAAAGTGATCATCTGTCATTGTCAACTTTAACCTTTTGACCTCCAAGAGTGGCTAATATCTAATTTCTCCGCACAACATCACCCCTGAGTCACGCATTCAGGAAATGATCAACAACTAATAAAGTAGCTCTTGATTGTTTAAAAAAAATCATCACTCGGTCATATCTTAGAAAATGTATAGAGAACAGTATGGAAAATAGGCATACTGACGTTAGAGCGTAAAATATTTAATACACATTTGACCATCTTTGTATGAAGAGACACTCAAACTAACACATATTTCAAATTCCGGAAAGTTTACTCATGTGTTTCTCGAACACTTCCTTACTAAAGAAATCAGACCACAAATCGAATTAACTGGCTTTAACTAATAGGGTTAAGGGCTTGTCAAGAAGACGTGAGTTTCATCATATTATGCTTATTCCCTGAAGAATCCATAAATACAATATCGCCAATTTGTGGAACAAAAGGGTAAGTAAGGTGGCTTGAAGTAATCCACAGGTAGTTCTGAAATTTTTGATATTATTTTCACTTGATTAAGTGAGTCCTCGGGGGAAAGAAAGGAGGGGAAGTCTTACTTGGAAAAAAAAACATTAAAACAGGATTTAAGGCATGCCTCAACTCATAAAAAAATTCGTATCTCATAAAGCTGACCCCACTTCACTTTCAAAGGGTTCCTCACTGGATGAAGCATCCACGTTTTTTCTACACCCCCCGGCCAACCTATACGCGATTTTCGTCATTCGCCCATTCAAAGTGAATATATGAATATCACATAAATATATTGTTAGAATGTAGTATTGAAATGATACGTACGTTAGAGAAGAGCGTGACCTTGTACCTTTCACCGGCAGAAGCTTCAGCCCTGTTTAACAATGACTTCCTGATGTTTCAATGCAACTCCTGTTGTGAAAATCCCGAAGCAAATAAAATATGAAAAGTGCGTTCTCCTAGAGAGTTAATTAAAATTCATGACTATCACCTGATTGGAAGGGATTTCACGTGAAATATTTCTGACAACGATGGATTTCAATCGCTCTCCGTTAGGTAGATCGTGTGACTGGGTTGTTTGGAGAGGCTGGGAAACTCCTCACGCTGTGAAATTTCTTCAGACGATTTTTCGATTTCCTAAATGTATATATTGAAAGAGAGATTATTCTGATCGCGACTTTTAGATTACTGAGTTCAAATAGAGAGATTATAGAAACCCTGTTATTCTGCTTTAGTGTGACGAGTTATCAGCAATAGATAAATCTTGAGACGATCGATTGGAAAGCTCTTGAACTTAAACAGTTTAATTTTGCCGTTTCCTCTCACGTGGAGGCGCCGAGCAGATTAGGTTTTTTTTTTAAAAAAAAAAATAAACATGTTGTGTTCTTTCCTTCTATCTGATTGATTTGAGGATCAAAGACAACGAAACCAAGTAAAATTTGCCGTAAGACCTTTGACCACGTTTAACCCTACATACTCTTAATGTGAGTACATGTAAAAATATTCTTCATGCTGTTCTCCACACATTTCCTAGGGTACAGCCTGGGAGGATTTCTTTGACGCTTCTTTATTTACCCTGTTCTCCCACCCTTGATGTTTGATCCAGCAGTGATGCTGAAGGGAGATATTAGATCAGTCCCAGTCGATCCCAGTCACCCTTGAGAGTTCAAAGGGTAAACTAGTGAACTCTCACAGGCGGTTATCACGTTCATCGCCGTACACTGGTGAGCGGAAAAAAAATAGAACAATATTGTTCTATTTTTTTTAAAATAATGGTGAAAATCTAGGGGTTATCTGAAAAATCATCAATATTTTCATCGCGAAAAACCTTGACTGGATTTTCATAAAACAACAAGTAAACGGCTATGTAACGTTTGAGTAGCTGCCAAGTTCATACACGTGCCGCCATGCTGCCCTATCAGGTGATCGCATTTTTTCCTAACGAGATTATTAATTGACGATAGCAAACACGCTGGTTTGCTAAATAGCAAGTTTTTTATAAGATCTTTTCGTTCGCCCAATGAATAAGATATTACCACTATCAGTAAGGGAATGAAAACAGTAAAATTAACAATTCCTCTCTATGTTCTCCATTATCAATCCGAGAGAAAAGTGACGACAAGCCCTATCCCATCTGGATGTAGTTCTATGCTGTCGCGCGCGGCTAAGCCGAGGCTGTGATGGGCTTTTGGCGGTCAACACCCTCGATATTCTGGGCAGTTTTTGAAAGTTAAACTAGTTTCGATCAGTGATTTGATAAACGACCTGTTTAGTCCTCCTGGGAGGGGAACTAAGCGGATCAGTCTGATCTAGAATTGTTCTGCTACGAGATCAGCAATATCATTTGATTGTAACTACCTTGCAGAACAGAGTTTCTATTTTAATTGAGGGTTTTTGTTTTTCCAAATGAGCGCGATAGCTAGATTGTAACTAGCTTGCAGAACAGAGTTTCTATTTTAAAAAAGAGATTTTTTTTTTTTCCAAATGAGCGCGATATCCATGCTTAGCGCGCGGTGAACAAGCGCCCGCCACCCACATTTGGTGCTTGTCCTTGCTTTCTTGTAAAAAGAAAAAATCAAAAACAAAGTCCAATACGCCTGTCGCATAGGGTGAATGTAACTTAATTAATACAATGAATTGGTGTTTTAATCCTGTAAGCATGCGCAAAAAACGCAGCGGGTCTATTAAAAATTCCACGTTATACTATTTGTTCCTTTGTTAAAGGGACATTTTTCATTTCCCGCGTGAAAGAAAAAGACATCCACCGACAGATTTCACTTGAAGCTCTTTTGATTTGAAAAGCTTACCTTTTGCAAGGGCTTCAATCGAGGCATAGGTTTGAAAAGTTATTAAATCTTTTGATCCGTAAATGTTGTCCCAGGACTCGGTCAACGTCAATGCGTTGGCACCTGTCCAATGGTCCAAAAGTTTCTAAATCCATTATCATGATGTATCTTGTTAGTAAATCTTTGTGATTTCAGTCTGTCTGCTGGTTATTAATGAGCTCCAGGTATGAAAAACATCATCAAATAAAAAGCAAATTAAAATAAGCAATCAGCACATAATCAATTATCGGATACATGGGAGATGTACGATGCGGAAAAGATTAAAATCATGGGTCTTTTAAAACCAAGATATAATATCTTAATCCTATTTTGCTCTTTGTTTGTTTTAATCGTGACGCCGAGCAGGTATGAACAAAAATATCAAATTAAAAATTTCGATAAGGAAAGTCAGTGTTTAACACTTTTCAAGAGCAAGGGACGGGAAAAAAAATCCTCCAACGATAGACCTATCCGATTTCGCAATTACATCGATGCTTCCATGCTTGAAACAAGTAAGGAACATCACAATTTCTTTACTTGACGACAGCGAATAAAATTTGCTATCTTCCTTATATGATATTAATCTATTAACACCAACCCTGATGGTGGCAAACAGCCGAAAACGTTTGATTCAAACATTTTAATTTTTTCCTAATCTTTTAGCCTTGTATAAAATATACCAACAGGCATAGTTCTGAAAACTACACCAGAAAAACACATTCGGTTTAAAGTTGACAGCTTTTTGTCTTCGTCTTAATCATGTACAAATGTCGAAATTACTGACATAAATTAAAACAAATCAGGCTTGATTCCCTTCCATTATAACGCAATCTCATCAATCTTTCTAAAGGTGTAAAAACCTCCTCTCAGATTAAAGTTATCGATTTGGAAAACATTTGGGAAGCATCCGCCAGGATCAACGCTCTCTAATAAAAAGGCGGCTCGACACCAAAATGTGCCGCCACACGTAAATGATATAATACAAATTCCCTGAAAAGCTTCATTTTTAACCACTTGAGTGTTTTAACCCCGTTTGAAACTTCCGATAAACTCTGTAGTTTTATTCTTCTCAGATAAAGGGACATTCCGGCGAGCGGTGGAGTACAATCGAAATAAAATATAATGATTTATGGGCCGTGGCGTGTTTTTTTTTTTTTTTTTAAACGGGCTACTCCTCCGTCGGGAATTAAATAAATATTACAACGTAAGAAGAAAACGGAAAAGAAATCTGCCACCTTCGCTGCAGCTTTTATGAGTCACTCGACATTGCAAAGCAGAGTGTGCAAGCTAATCTCGACCAAAATTTTTAAGATATTACGGGTCTTCCACGACGTTACTGGAAAAACGAAGCTTTTTTTTTAGTTCAGAAGTACGATTGAGCGATTGAGCGCGGCATTGCCCTAAGTAGTCTTCCTTGTTTCGCTCAATTAAATCCAAAATTAATCGGGGACCACAAGCAGTAGGCGAAATATTTAGTTACTGGCCTGTGGATGATAAGTAATAAATTGATGCTCGCCGATAAGCTCCGGTTATGGCGGCTGCTGGAAGTAGGCCCTGAAACAAATTTAAAATTCGACGAAATTCCATGATAGCTCAGTTGTTATCAGCACCTAACTAGTATCTAAAAAGCACGGGTACACGCCCCGTCGAGGCCTGAAATGTGTTCTCAAGCTGCACTCTCGGTGTATGCTTATTTTCAGGTTTTCAAACGCTCACATTGACCTTTGTAAAGTGAGTGCGCGTTACTGGTGCTAATGAGGTCTGATCTGTACTCCTGTGATCATTTGATAGGTTTTTCACGCTAACTTTGGAAATGAAAGCACAGCTTCCTCAGCTATATTGCCCTTACCGTAACTTTATTTCATTACAAAGCGCTTTTGAGCCTTTCAGATGAAATGTTGTCTATGCCATTGTTACTCAAATGTATGTTTACTTAAAATGAAGAATGGCTACCTATTAAGCCTTTTACATATTCATAACGCAATCAAATTATTCAAATACAATTTTTTAAATATTAATTCGTTTATCCTGTGCAACTTTCGTCTTCCCAATTAAAATAGTTGAGATTAGTGTGGTTAAGACAAACATTACCAAAGAAAGTTTTCGAAAACTGAGCCAGATATTGTAATAGTAAAATGAAAATGAACTTAGAGGCCTTTGATAACTGTTTTGCGAATTCTTGCGGCAATTCAGTGTAGGTGACAAAATGTTTTTGACGGGCAGTCGTTTGCGAGCTGAAGCAATTTTGAGAAGTGAGTTTGAACCAGTGTAGAGCATAACTTCTTACCTTGTACCCCTAAATATAAATTATGTCCGATAAGAATTAAAAACGTACAGCAAAAACTATTGAAATACCTTGAGAAAATCGAATTGCACAGCAAGTGGAGAATAGCGTATTTCGAGAGCTGCGTCTACGGGAAACGGCGAGAGTGCTCTGAGATACTGTGTTAATGAATTTCAGTTTCTTCAAAACCCTGTCGCCACTTATAGTAGCTACAGGAGGTAACCGCATCCACTGCAAAATTGAATCGCTTTGTAAATTATTCATTGCGATATACATTTACACATTGTATTGTTACTAAAGTTATTAACCACAAACGAAAGAATAAATTTCATTTTTCAGAGAAACTAATGAAACATGTTAAAAAAAAACGAGAAACTGTGAGAATTCAAATTGAGTTTTGGATGATTAAAAATTGCTTAACATATTTCATCAACTTCTGTTTATAGATCTTTGGTAATCAAAGTCGTACTAGAAATAGTTTTCTTCTTACCTCTACCAATATTATCACTCTTTTTTATTTTTTATTATCAGTCTAGACACAAACACTGGCGCGCGTGTTACCAATCACAGTTCACAACATAAGTTACCTGATCAAAGAAATCCTAAATAAACATTGAACTGATGGCGATATTGAATGCATTATCAAATGTTATTGCCAGAGCGGCTAGTTGAATTGAGGTAAAACTTTCTATCTCAACAGCAGCAGATGGCTATAGCACTTCGCGATAAGCATTTCATTAAATCCCCGTGAAAAAAATCGTCATCATCATTATCATCGACCTAATTGTCACCAAAATTGAGTTCCAGGTGAAACTCACGAAGAGGGGGTTTTGTCAAAATCAATTAAGCGCTTCTTCAAAAAGGCTCGTTGAGATTCCAAGATCTTTACTCGCCGCCATTTCTTTATATTGAATGCGATAAGTTCACAATTCCTGAGAGAAAATAATGTCGCATTATTTTCTCTTGCTACTATGGAAGACCTTAACCAGAGCTTCTCGTTTACGAAAATCTCAGTTAGGGCTGAACAAAGCTGTTTAGTTCTCTTTCATGTGCAATCCAGTCTGTTCTCTATAATGAAACCCGCGATGGTTCCCTGGCCATATCCATGTCGGTAATCGGGTTTCAATCTCAGATCGTTTATCCTTGTACTTTCCGACGAAGCCCTCGTTTACTGTCGTCAAATAACGCTTCAGGCTCCTCCAAACGAGACAAACTGCACCGAAAGATGTGTTCCTTGCTAAATGGGCATAAACAAAACGAGCGTTTCGGAGTTATATGTATTGCATGCTCGACTGTTACAATATTAGTCCTATAATGTTCACTATATTGATCCTATAATGTTCACTCAGTAAAACTGACGACTTGTGCCGGATAATGACCTCTCCAAGCCTTACAGTATTTGTCTGTGTCAAGTTTTCACACTCCGAAATAGATTCAGCGATCAGTCGGCTAGTTGTCTATCAGACCGCCAAGAACACAATGAACTGGGTTACAGCTCTTTTGTCTATTATAAGCCCAATACTTAAATAAAAATTAACTTAGCTCATGTGACTGATACCTTGTTTTAAAAATCTTTTTCTCTTCTGTTCCCAGTAAATTTTCCCCAAGAGAAAAGTGAACTGGAACTTCAGCAGATTAATTCTTTTTCTTTCTCTCTCTTTTTCTTTTTCTCTTTCTTTTAATTGTTTTCTTTCATTTCTTTCTTCTTTTCATTACTCTTTTCTTTCGCCCTTTATTTCTTTCTCTCTGTCTTTCTTTCTTTCGTTCTCTCTTTCTCTCTTCTTTTCTTTCTCTCCTCTTTGTCTCTTTCTTTTTCCTCTGGAATATTAGTTTGGACAGGAGTATATAATCTCCTGCCGGGTTTGAAATAGACAATTGCTAATCACCAGTTCTTTACTTAAAAAGCAAAAGGAATGCCTTGAAATAATTTCTTGTTTACCACATGCATCGGCTGGACCGTTTAAACGGTTCATCTGATTTTTACGCGCTATAAGTTTGTATTTTTGTACAACTCTGTTGGGAAACTAAGCAGGTGCCGTTTCAGTAGCGTAAGACCCGATATGCCATCGTATCTATTCTTGTGGGTTAGTTCAAAGGGAAACAAAATAACTACGTTAGCTTGTTCACAGATTTGAGCTTCGACCGATCTCTAAACTTCACCGTTTCCAACTTTTCTAATTTCTTCTGGCAAGAGATTCGAGAAATAAGGATTTTCCTGCAACGTCCACAAACATAACACGGGTAGGATCTCCTTTCCAGAAAATTCCACAGTCATACGAATTCAGTTATCAGATAAATCTGAGCAGCATTTTTATCAAATTTGATTTTTCATGTTCGGCCAATTTCAGATTCCAGACAAAATGGTTTTCTATGGATCTGCAAACGCAAGGATAAAAAACAATGCAATCCTGCATTAGCTTCGGCTCTCGATTAAAAATTGCTCTAATTTTTGTGATAGCAATCAGAGTTGTGCGCGTCGACAATACCACCGATTTTGATCTCATCCTTGGTTTGAATAATAATATGGCCTTGAGGTGAATCGAAAACCAATATTACCTCAATGCAATCATTCTAAAATCCTATTTAAGGAGGCAAAATTTTTGCAAAACAATAGATACAATTTCATAATAATTTGGATATATCAACAAAGTTGAAATGGTAAATTGGCCACCGTAATGATTACAAAAGCTGACGTTTCGAGCGTTAGCCCTTCGTCGGAGCGAAGATACAATTTCAGTTTTTTTTCCTGACAAATGGTATAATTCTTGAAACGAAAGGAAACATACAAGTTTAATTGATTACTATGCAGATAGATGTCAAAAAGGACATCAGATAAATCTTTCCCAAATAAACATCTCCAGTGTCTACATTTCGTTTTTAAATGCCCTTCTAGCAAGCCTTTCGTCGAAGAGTCCTTTACTAAAGATATCTCGCAATTAAACGCATAACAAGAAACAGGAAAAGGCTAAAATTCACTGACTTGTAGCTTATCGCTCTCTGATGTCAACAAATTTTCTTACCTAGATGAAGATTAGACAGTATTTTCTTGTGAAAATGCGGAAATTAAATGATACTCTGGGTACGAAGGATTAACGTAAAGCTATTCGAACCTTGGAAAATCATCGTAGATCTACACTTATTTGTATCGAATGAATTTCAAAGTACAAGCTTAACATTAGTTCTTCGTTGCGAAAGATAAAGTGTAGTGTACGCTTCCAAACCTTACCAGTGATCACTGTGAAAATTAAATGTTTTCGACAACGAAACGGCGTGTAAACTGGGAGAAAAACCAAAATAGATCACTGGCGATGGAACTCGCCCGAAATCAGACACCTAAAGGTTTTGCATAGATCAAAAATTTGTTTCATCTTTATTGCACCATTTTATTGAAAACATTCCAATGTAAAGATCTTGTAACTTTTTTTACCTACCTCAATTCCAGGGTTCCGGGAGTGCTGATATTAAAAAAAAATACTTAATACTTGTTGGATCGATTATCGTCGGGTTTATCAAACGAAAATCATTTACCCAACTTGCACTTCGTTGAGAAAGGTCGAAAATATTCAGACACGCTGAATTATAACACTGTGCCTCCGAAACTCCTTTGCATTCAACTCATATCCGGAAACTCAATTATAATGATCTATATCACTGTTCGGGTCTGTTTCGTTTCTGATTGACTTCAATTTACTGATACTCTAGTTTGACCAATCACATGTGCCATCCATTGACGGCATAAAGACCGAACCTTCCTCAGTTGTCAAGAGCCTTCGACGTTAGATAACCTTGTGGCGATATTACAATGCGGTTATCTCCTGTTATTTGATTCGTATGCTAAATGACTACTTTCTTTTTAGAGGGCGTGTATTCCATTTGTGAGACAAGAGTTTAGTTACAAATGAACAACTTCGACCGCCACCATTTTGACACAAGTTAAACTCTCTTTTGTTTCACGGCAAGCCTGATAAATCAAGCCAGACCAAAACAGAAAATCCCATGTCATTTTTATGAGGCAAAAGTCATGAATAGGCGGATGGTAAATGATACATGTTTATAAACATACTCAAGCTGTATCACTCAAGTCATGAGTAAACGGATGGCAAATGATACGTTTGTAAACACACTCAAGCTGTATTACTTATTATCTTAGAAGCCAGATTTTGGCCTCTAAGATAAAGAGGGACCGAAATATCAAAATGAACATGGTCTGTAAACGATAATTGAGGCCCTCTGTCGAGATTAATTGTTCGATTCGTTCGAGTGTTAAAAAGCTTTTAAAACGATAAGCGAATCGTTGATTAACATGAAAACAAGCAATGAAACCTTAACTTACAAAGAAAACAGCTGGAGGGTTTATGATAGATATTGTAAACAAACTCAATTTGTAGGACTTAAACAAGTCTCACTTAGATGTTCAGTCGTTCGCCCTTCTGATGCAAGTCCTAATTTTGACCGAGCAGAGTCACTTTTATGCAAAGAGAACCTTCCAAGGGGACCAATGAGGACTCACGGATAAGACTCGTACACAGACTTCCTGCGTGGAAGGAAGTACGAAACCAATCACGTTGTGTATTTGCATAAAACTGTCTAACTATCCTTACAGAACCTATAGGAAACGTCTAAGTTACATGTTTAAACCTATGCGCAAAACAATTTCATGAATTTCAAAATAAAGCCTGTGTAAAAGCATAACATTGGTAACACTGTTTCGTTTAGTAAATAGGCGTTGCCTATGATGACAGATATAATTTAATTAACACAACTCGTGATTGACATTAATTCCTTACAATGATTTAAAGTGTTAGCTTGTCGTGATTTAAACCAGTTTTTCAGAAGAATCAATAAGAGAGAGAAGTCGATTTTTGTATCTGTTCGCTTACCCGAATCTGCTAACCTGAAGTGAGAAACCTGTTTTTACGACCCGCCACAGAAGTAAGTTTCCAGTCATGTTTTCTTGAATTTTGCCATGAGATTAAGACTAAATTT